ACACGTAAAAAAAAAAAGAAGAATATAACGTTTTGGCACTGTTCTTCTTCTTCTTCTTCTTTAGAGTTTATCGGCAGCTTGCATCCATTATCGTTGCACTACCGCCATCTTCCGGCTTTATTTCCTGTCATGTCCAGTTACATCATATTCTTCTCATCATACCTATTCTTGATAAAAATAAGAAAATATTTCCTCTGCTTTGTTCATTCTCCCCACTTTCCAGTATTTCCTTCATTCCTGTCCCTATTGTTCCAACTATTCCTAACTCTTCCATCATATTTTTCCTCTGTTCTTCATATTATCTGCAACTCAAAAACACATGCTCTATAGTTTCTGCAACCTGACCACAACCAGAAAAACCAGTTGGGTGCTTCCCTATAATGTGTAATGTGTAATGTGCTATTCAAATTACTGTGACCTATCCTTAATCTGGTCATAATTATTTCTTCTTTTCTATTCCCTCCCCTATTCTTCACCGCCCCAACTTTACTTTGTATAGCATATAAATGTCTCCCTTTAGTTTCCACATCCCACTGATGTCGCCATTCTCTAATGGCTTCTTTCCATATTATACTCTTTCTTTCAGACTTTGACAACTTAATATTTTCTTCAATACTCTCTTTTTTAACAGCTTGTTCGGCTAACTTGTCCACTCTCTCATTACCCACAATGCCAATATGAGCAGGAATCCAAGTCAATTGAATCTAATAGCATTTTTCCCTTATTCTTGTGTATATTATCAATATTGAATACAGTAAATCCTGATGACTATTAGATATACCAGTCATGAGACTGTATAAAGCCGACACTGAATCACTTCCAATTAAAGCTTTTTTGATTTTGTTTTCCTCAATCCATTCTAGTGCCATCTTAATAGCATATAATTCAACTGCATACACACTCAGATCATTTGTGGTTCGTCTGCTTATCTCACCTCTTTGGTTGAAAATGTAAACTGCAGATCCAGTCTTTCCTGTTTCTGGATCCGTCTGTATAAATCTGAATATACTCTTTATATTTAAAATCTATATGTCTATAAAATTCCGCTACCAGATCTGTGCTATTACTTACTGTTTTAACTCGAAGTAATTTAAAATCAACTTCCATGGTTTCTAGCTTCCATACCGGTGTATCAGGCCATATTATAGTTGGGCAGAATTCCTTTTCATACACTCCCAGTTCTCTAGCCGCCTCATCTCCGACCCACCCAAAACTGAACTTTTGTGCTCTCTCCCTTTCCCAATTATCTTGTAATATTATTTTAGTTGGATGACTATCTCCATGCCCTTTTAGATTTACCCAATAATTTACAAGCAATTGTTTACGTCGGATGTTCAATGGCATTTCTCCCGCTTCCACCTGTAGAGCACACACTGGTGATGTTTTAACTGCCCCTAGACATAATCTCAGTGCTTTAGCCTGTATTACATCAAGCCTCCTAAGTACAGATTTGGCTGCTGATCCATATGCCACACTTCCATAATCCATCCTTGATCTTATTAGACTTACATATATATATTTCAGTGATTTATAATCTGTTCCCCATTCTAGTCCTGTTAAACATCTCATTAAATTTATTACTTTTTTACATTTGTCTTCTACATTTCTAATATGTTCTACCCATGTTAATCTTGTGTCAAAGTATACTCCTAAAAAACAGAATGCTTTAACTCTCTCTAAGTTACTTCCATATAGTTTTATATTAATATTTTCCATGATTTTCTTCCCTGTGAAAAACATTACTTTAGTTTTCTCTATAGAAAATTTAACACCCCACTTTATTCCCCACTTCTCAACATGCTGTATCCCTTCTTGTATTTTTTTAACTACATGTTCTATATTTCTTCCTTTTTTCCATATTGCCCCATCATCCGCAAAAAGTGATCTTCCCATACCTATTGGTATATTCACATATATATCATTAATCATTACTGAAAATAATGTGGGACTTACAACACTCCCCTGAGGATTTCCGTTTTCTATAACATGTTCACTTGATAGGACTGCCCCTATTTTAACCTGAATTGTTCTTCCTTCCAGGAAATCCTTGATCCAGTTAAGAAAATTTCCTCTAATTCCCATATTATACAATTTAATCATTAGTCCCTCTCTCCATAGCATATCATATGCCTTTTCTACATCGAAAAATACTGCCACTGCTGTCTCTTTATTTACTTGTGCTTTTCTTATGTTATCTTCCAAACACAATACTGCATCCATAGTATTCCTACCTCTTCTAAACCCACTTTGACATTCAGCCACCATACCTCTTTTTTCCATAATATACATTAACCTCTCATTTATCATTCTTTCCATTAATTTACAGACATGAGATGTCAGAGCAATAGGTCTATAACTTGTAGGTTTACAAGCTTCTTTCCCAGGTTTCCTTATCGGCATAATAATTGCCTCCTTCCAGCTCTTTGGAAGTTTCCCTTCCTCCCACACTTTATTGTACAGCATCAACAACTTATTCTTCCCCTCCTCACTTAACTGTTTCAACATGCTATAACAAATGTAATCTTTTCCTGGTGCAGTCTTCCCAGTTTTGGCCATTGCTCTCTTTAATTCTCCCATGTTAAATAGTACATTTTGTTCATCCTCCACTTTCCCAGTCTTCATAAATATCTCTACATTTTCAGATTTAGTCTTCTCTCTGCCTCTCTTCCCTTCTTCAGATAAGTTATTAGAGCTATGCACATTGACAAATGTATTTGCTAACATTTCAGCCTTTTCCTTATTAGTCACTGCAATTTCATTTCCACTACTCAAAACTGGATAACTCCATTCTCTCCTTTCACCACCCATCTTTTTAATCATTCTCCACACCTCTCCAATCTGAGTTGTATTCCCAATTGAGCTACAATAGTTCCTCCAATATGTTCTTTTTGCCTGCCTAATTGTTTTCCTTACTATTGCCTGAGCATATTATATTGAATCATGTGCCTGAAGTTATGAGTTCTTTTCATTATTTTAAATGCTTTGTTCCTATTTCTGACTGCTTCTTTACATTCCTCATCCCACCATGGTACGATTTTCCTCTTTACCTTACCTTTACTTTTTGGAATAGACTCCATTGCCGCTGTTATTATACCTTTCTTTATTTTATTTTCCAGTGTCTCTATATCATCATTCTACTCAATCTGGCTCAAACATCTATCACTTTCTCTCTGAAAATGTTCCCAATTAGCCTTCTCAAATACCCATCTTCCTCCTCTTTCTTCTATACTTTGAGATAATGAAATATTAATTTTACATAATACTGGATAATGATCACTTCCTATTGTCCCATCCTTATATACACTCCAATTACATATCGCTGCCATACTACTAGACACCAGTGTAAGGTCAAGTACAGATTCCTTCCCCGTACTAACCTCTATCCTTGTTTTACTTCCATCATTTAAACATACTAAGTTTTCCTCATCCAATAACTCTTCAATTACTTGTCCATTACTATCCATCTTCTCACTACCCCACAATGCATTATGCGCATTGAAATCCCCACACCATACAATATTATTATGGTCTTGCCCCTCTATTTCCTCAAGATTATTTATATCTAATTTTCTACACGGATTGTAATAATTTATAACTACAATTCTTTTCCTTTCACCCCATGTTTCTACCACTACATATTCTTGCTCCTTTCCTATACCTAACACCCTATGCGGAATGCCTTGTCTTATAAATGTTATACATCCCCCTCCACCACCATTTTCCCTATCTTGTCTAACTGATACATATCCATATATTATAAAGTCCAAATTAGGCTTTAACCAGGATTCCTAAATGCATATAACATCTGGCTTTTCTCTTCTACTCCTTATAAATTGCTTGAAATCCTGCCCATTTGCGATCAAGCTTCTTGCATTCCATTGAGGGATTAGCATTACAAAAATTATTAACCTATACATGTTGTCTCTTGACTCGACTGTACACTGAGTTCATCCCTCACTTCTTCCCACTTTAATCCTGCCATATCTAAATGGTGTATTGCTGCTTTAACAATAATATGGATTCTTTCAGTTTTAGACCTGACTTCAGCTGTAGCATTTATCACCCCTGCTATGTCACTATTTTCTTCTTCTCTTCCCATTTTTCCTTCTTTTCTTGGTGATCTTCCCTGCTCACCCTTTTTGTACTTTCTCCACTCTGATTCTTCTTTTCCTGCTCTGTTCTCTTAACAGCCTCAACATAAGAAATGTTTTCTTTTAATTTTATCTGTTGTACTTTAACTTCTTTTTTCATCACTTCGCATCCCCAAAATGCCACACTATGATTCCCTCCACAGTTACAACACTTTGGTCTTACTTCTTCCCCACACTTTCCATATTCATGATCACCACTACACCTAGCACACCTCCTCTTTCCTTTCCATACCTTAGCCATATGTCCAAATTCCTGGCAATTATAACATCTCATTGGCTTAGGTACATACTCTCTTATGCTGTATCTCATAAATCCATAATATACCTCTTTTGGTACCTCCTTTGTTTCAAACTCAACCAATACAGATTCTGTTTCTACTTTCTCCACTCCCCGTGTCATTCTTATTGCAATTTTAACTGACCTATTCTTCATTCTCAAGTTCTCCACCAACTCTTCCATATTTTACAGTAAGTGGAATTCCATATATCATTCCCTTACTTCCGCCATTTATTTTCTCCCCCACTCTTACTACTTTTACTATTTTTATTATTCCAACACAACTCATCTTCTTTGCTTTTTCCATCTGTACTTCATTATTACATCCTACCAGTAGGTTTCCATCTCCCAAAATTCTTGCATACTTCTCCTACCTTTTCTCTTATTATTTTAGTTAACTTAAGTGGATCCATTTTTTTTTACTCCTCCTTCTCCCTCAAATCGTACCACTACATTAAGCAATCTTATTTTATGTTCCTTCCCTTCATCTTCTTCACTTTCCGTCCCATTTGAACTAACACAACCTTTTTTCTTTCTTTTACGACTAGCCTCCTTCTTATCCCTATGCCTTCTCCCTACTTCCTCCCAATCACTTTCCCTCCTCTCATCACTACCATTTCCCTCTGCCTCACTGTAATCCATACCATCCACCTGTCTCCCTGCCATCCCTATCCAGATTATTGGTTTAATGAGCAACCAGAAGCTGTGAAATAGCACCGCTACCGGACCTATACAGGCCGTCGGCCGATGCTATCCCACACCACCTCTTAATCGACTCACCAACCAACAAACTCGCACTTCGTTCTCCACCCAGTGCTAAATTCAGACAGACCACAGTTCTCGTTTTTCTGGAATACACTGTCGCGTGTCCACAAGCCTCCTTCTCCAGTTAGCTGCTTTTACCAAGCTCAGCAGCCAAAAGCAGACATCATTGGCACTGTTGTATAGGCTATATTATTTTATAATGCCCATTACCAAACACAAAGTAACTAAATTAGGATACAGTCTGTGTCATAAGCAAACTGTTACTGGTTCTAAAATTTCATCTGGGTGATCACAGGGATATTTCAATATTGTATCTGTTAACTGGTTGCATATATTAGATTTATCACATGACTCATTAGGCAGAGAAAAGCTGCTTTTAATTAACTGAGTATACTTAGTGTACTGGTGAAGTCAAATAGGCCGATTGATAGATAGGTTCACAAAGTGATTTTATGGTACCTTGGGAAAGTATTTTTAGTAATACGGTAGTTTATTTTGATACATGACATGGCTGCTGATCTCTAATTTAAGTCAATTCATTTGAGCAGCTTCCTTTTTTCCATTTAGGGTTTCAGTATACACACACACAATTTGTGTGGGAAAGCAATTATAAATCATACTTTTAAATTCAGCAGCTTTGTTACTCAGACCAGGTCCATTTACAAAACATAACAATATTAGGAACATTAATAATAGTAGTAGTCTTGGTTTGTTTTGCGTGGTGATGGTGTTCCTCTCTGATCTTCCATACCTGCAGTGCACTTCCTGGTGGTGTCTGATCTTTTCTTTTTTATAGAGAGACTTTGAAGGCTGTGATTCTTGTTCCAGTCACTCCACGATCTCCTGTCAATGTCGGCCCCATTCCCTCTCCGGTACCGACAGGCTGTGAAGAGTTCGGGATCGTTCCCTCTGGCTGGATGAAAATTACACATCATCCATGCACTACTGCAGCTGGGGGCTGTCCGCAGCGCCACGCAACTTTCTAAATTCTTCCCTCTTACGGAGCAAAGAAAGGTCACAGCCGAATCTGTTGTGTAAAGCATAGTCTAATGTCAGCAAAATGGCTACATATAATAATGAAAAGTTAAAACAGTCAAACAGTCAGAAACATTATGAAGACAGATTACTTACTGAAACTTTAAGGTATACATTTTCTCTAAATAGGCCACAGTTTAGGCCTAGCTCCTTCTTAACAGCAGAATACTGCTCCAGCCATCCCTTTGCTGAATGTCGGTCACTGACTGCTGGTTAAAACCCAGACTTAATGCAGACGCATGGCAACAGAAAGTGGAATGGCCTACACGTGACTTAATGATTCAATATGAGTCTCTTAGATATTATCAAGAGGAGACATAGCCTACCACATCTATTAATGTTCTTTGTGCCAAAACAAAAATTCCTTTGTAGTCACTTTGTAATCTAGGACACCTGTATTAGTCTTTAAAAAGCAGGTTTTTGTCTGTCTTCATGGTTATGAGCTAAGTCGGTTTGATGATATCTTGTCTTTGAAACTTCAAGTCATTTTGAGGCATAAACAAAAGTGATAAGTTAAGAGCTGCAATCAGTTTGCCAAGTGAGAAATTAGGCTACATGTTACTGGTTCAGTGCAGAGCATTGTGTTACATGTTGGACAAGAGTCTTTCACTGTTCTGGGGGCGGCGCTATCACATACAAAGTCAATGCAAAGAGGCTGAGAGACGCGATTTCCTGTCAGGATGTAGCATTTGTAACAGCTGACTTTGTCCTAGATTACTCTTCTCCCAAAACTCCTCCCACTGCATGCAGTCTATATAAATCAGGAGACTGCACTGTGCCTTCATTCTAAAACCAGATCCAAGTAGACTCGGTATCTTAGGTGAACCCCTGCAATCTGACCACTGATACTTGGTGCGGCTGATTTCAACACCAAAGATGGATCGAGACAGTGGAAGCGTCACTGTTGCCCTACAGCAGACACTGTCTGCTGTCCTAAACTTCGTCTCTCGGTTTTCTGTGCAGCTGGGCTATGAGGAACCTCGCTCGCTGGTTGTTATCATTTATTTTGACCGGCAGAGGAAAGCTACGATTCCGATCTTTAGACTGCCGATGGTGCTGATAACAGATAGGCCTATTCAAGATCAACGGAGCGGAGTAGCAGGACGCGATCACGGCGACATCTCTGATGTATAGGCTACTCTCCGGTAAGTATTGGCGCTAACACGTGTTGCCGTGCAATTGTGCTGATGGCGCTGAGATAAACGCCGTCACACTAACAAATACGACCAATAATCAAACGAGGTGGAAAATTAAAATAACTGCATCATGGCCATATTCGTCGATTTAGGAATCAAGCAGCTGGAAACATCTAGCATTCTCATATTCTCAGACCAGGAAACAGACGAGCGGGAAATTTGAAACGAATCGGTCATACTCTCATTCGTCAGCCCATGACACGTGATAGCGGGACTTTTGAAGCATCTGTAATACTCTCATTCGTCAGCCCATGACACGTGATAGCGGGACTTTTGAAGCATCTGTAATACTCTCATTCGTCGGACCAGGACACGTGATAGCGGGACTTTGGAAGCATCTGTAATACTCTCATTCGTCGGACCAGGACACGTGATAGCGGGACTTTGGAAGCATCTGTAATACTCTCATTCGTCGGACCAGGACACGTGATAGCGGGACTTTGGAAGCATCTGTAATACTCTCATTCGTCGGACCAGGACACGTGATAGAGGGACTTTAGAAACGAAATCTGTCATCCTCATATCCCTCGGATATAGTGGATCCCAGAAACCTGAAGGATTCCACCGCAGACACGGCTGTTTAAAATGGTGAGTGGGGGAGATCTGCCACCAAAAAGGAGAGGAGCAGACTACAGTAAGAACTGTTTTTAAAAATCCACCACTCATTCATAGTGTTCATTTTTTCATATTTTCATATATATATATATATAACTGAAACGCCTCTATCATCGTCGTATTCGTCGATGCGGGAAAACGGAAACGCCTCTATCATCCTCGTATTCGTCGACGCGGGAAAACTGAAACGCCTCTATCATCCTCGTATTCGTCGACGCGGGCAAACGGAAACGCCTCTATCATCCTCGTATTCGTCGACGCGGGCAAACGGAAACGCCTCTATCATCCTCGTATTCGTCGACGCGGGCAAACGGAAACGCCTCTATCATCCTCGTATTCGTCGACGCGGGCAAACGGAAACGCCTCTATCATCCTCGTATTCGTCGACGCGGGCAAACGGAAACGCCTCTATCATCCTCGTATTCGTCGACGCGGGCAAACGGAAACGCCTCTATCATCCTCGTATTCGTCGATGCGGGAAACTGAAACGTCTGTCATCCTCGCTTCATCGAGTAAGACCCAGACGAGGCAGAAAACTGAAATGCAGATATCCTCCTCGTCGATTGAAGAACCTGACCTTTAGAGCCTCTATCACACTGTCACTGAATAAAATGAATCCTCCATATTGTTGTCTGTATTTTTTTTTTAAACGTAGGGCACAATGGAAAATAAGAAATAAAGCACCACATATTTTGGAGTAGTAGTAGTCTTTATTTTAGAGGTTACAATAAGATTTTCTACAGGTCATACCACTGAAACAATGTAGCACACATCCATACAGTGTTATTATCTATATGGTTATGAAGAGGTAAGTTGGTTTGATGGTTGGTTAGGATTTGTCTTTAAATTTTAGATCATGTCATTTTGAGACATAACCAACAGTAATATGGTAGGAGCCACTGGCAAGTGGAAAACCACAAGTAACTGTGTGTGATCTGTGTGTGTGTGTGTGTGTGTGTGTGTGTGTGTGTGTGTGTGTGTGTGTGTGTGTGTGTGTGTGTGTGTGTGTGTGTGTGTGTGTAGATGCAGGTGCTGGTCATATAATTAGAATATCATCAAAAAGTTGATTTATTTCAGTAATTCCATTCAAAAAGTGAAACTGATATATTTCAAGTGTTCATTCCTTTTAATTTTGATGATTATAACTGACAACTAATGAAAACCCCAAAATCAGTATCTCAGAAAATTAGAATATTTTGAAAAGGTTCAATATTGAAGACACCTGGTGCCACACTCTAATCAGCTAATTAACTCAAAACACCTACAAAGGCCTTTAAATGGTCTCTGTCTAGTTCTGTAGGCTACACAATTATGGGGAAGACTGCTGACTTGACAGCTGTCCAAAAGACGACCATTGACATCTTGCACAAGGAGGGTAAGACACAAAAGGTTATTGCTAAAGAGGCTGGCTGTTCACAGAGCTCTGTGTCCAAGCACATTAATAGAGAGGTGAAGGGAAGGAAAAGATGTGGTAGAAAAAAGTGTACAAGCAATAGGGATAACCGCACCCTGGAGAGGATTGTGAAACACAACCCATTCAAAAATGTGGGGGAGATTCACAAAGAGTGGACTGCAGCTGGAGTCAGTGCTTCAAGAACCACCACGCACAGACGTATGCAAGACATGGGTTTCAGCTGTCGCATTCCTTGTGTCAAGCTACTCTTGAACAAGACACAGCGTCAGAAGCGTCTCGCCTGGGCTAAAGACAAAAAGGACTGGACTGCTGCTGAGTGGTGGTGGTCCTAAGTTCTGTTCTTTGATGAAAGTAAATTTTGCATTTTCCTTTGGAAATCAAGGTCCTAGAGTCTGGAGGAAGAGAGGAGAGGCACAAAAACCATGTTGCTTGAAGTCCAGTGTAAAGTTTCCACAGTCAGTGATGGTTTGGGGTGCCATGTCATCTGCTGGTGTTGGTCCACTGTGTTTTCTGAGGTCAAAGGTCAATGCAGCCGTCTACCAGGAAGTTTTAAAGCACTTCATGCTTCCTGCTGCTGACCAACTTTATGGAGATGCAGATTTCATTTTCCAACAGGACTTGGCACCTGCACACAGTGCCAAAGCAACAGTACCTGGTTTAAGGACCATGGTATCATTTCTAAAAATCCTTTTTTTTGTATTGGTCTTAAGTAATATTCAAATTTTCAATGCCTTGCCTTTGACATTTAAATAGTATAAAGTCATAAGCAATCTTTCAGTAATAAGGCTGGAGCTGCAATCACTTTTTGTAAGTAGAAAACTGAATTTTATGGCTCGTATTGGCCATTAAAATGTATTTCACGTGGTAAAAAGGACTGGATTGGTTGGTAGAGAGTAAGTATATATGCAATTTCTTTGTTTAAAATGCAACCCAGCCGTAAATCATGTTAATGATAGGCTCCACTAAACAATGTTAGACATAGGCCTACCAAACACAAATTTCATCGGCAAAAATGGGTTTCCTATAAAATCACAAATGTCAGAACCCATTACACTATAAACAATAGCTTAGGTTATATTTGATTTTTAAAAACGTGCTGTTACACTGATAGACTTGAATTACGTTGTAAAAGTAAAGTTACCAGGCATGGGATTGGCAAAGGGCAAAAAAGCAGGAAAAAATACTGAGAACACCCAACACCCCGATTAAACTGGCGGCAGCTCTAACATGGAAGGTAAAGCAGGATCCATGACAATATTTAATGGATGTGTTGCAGTGGGAATCAAAGGACAAGGGTCTAATCCACTGCGCCATCGCAGCCTCTCTATAATAATTATTTTGTATTCATTTTTACCAAACTTCAACAGATAAATGTGCAACATGATATAATTGAGTCTATAACTAAGTAATGCAACTACTAACTTTCAAATTAGTTCAGTTGAAGTTAGATGATTTTTATTGAATAAGAGACAGCAGCAAAGGTTGTTGCCTGTTTAAGACCTGGTGGCCTGACTGTTAAAGAAACTCAAACAGCTGATCAGTCTCTATCTGTTGATACACTGTTGGAAAAAGTTTGACATGTCAGCTCTGGCAGCGGGCGGGCGTGTGCGTGACACGAGAACGACCGCGACAGTTTAACAGGATCGCGCCAGTCACACAGAAGCCGTTGCCATGGTTACCTCGCGGAGCGCTTGTTTGCCTGTCTGTTGATGAGGAGCGCGGAGCGACCCCTGTGAAAAGGCCTTATATAGCCTAAACCTTGTCACAACCATTCACAAGAACTTAATTAATAACGTACCAAAACCTTTAACATAAGGACTTAAAAAGCAACCATCCACACAGCAAAGTGTATATTTAGGCTACATGAGTGATCAATAGACAAGTCAAAGTAAAGATTAGACATAGCCTCTAACAAGCAATAATCAAACATTCCCAATTAATCTGATCCTTATTGTCAACTCAGTGTTGGGCAAGTTCCTCGGAAATAATATTACCTACTAGTTACTTAGCATAGGCTATAGACCTACTCCTTAAAAAAGTAATATTAGCTACTCCACTTAGGCCCACTGCTGGGCGATGGCCTATTATAACGCCACTCTCTCCCGATGAGTCCAAGCATCACTGGCAGCAGCGGCAGGAGTTTCTCTCTGAGTTTCACGTTGCTGTGTTGCTTTAGCTGATGCTTCAATTAGCCTAAGTATAAATGTAAAACTGTTGGCGGTTGAAGACTTTTTGCTGGTCACACAAAGTTTACAACAGACGACAATGTTCTTTGCATCTTAGACTGTGACACAGAAATGGCAATAAATGCCAACAGCTATCGAAAATACCTCTCTCCCTGTTCTCCAGCTGTCCTTTAGCTTCTTGGCTGTTTAACAGCTGACTTCAACAACAAAGTCCGGTGCCGCTGAGCTGATGCGCCACGTCAGGGATGGTGCGTTCAGTAGCGCACCGTTACTTGGATTAGTAACTGTAATAATACAACTGTTTTCGAAATAGTAATCCGTTACATTACTCTTTACTGGGAAAAGTAATTTTGCAGTAGGCCTATTACTGCCCAACACGTTACGTACCACTGATGCGCGAGCGCGCCTGTGGTATACACTGCACAGGTGTGGAATTGGCAGCTGAGCGTAAACGAACATCCTTGATACTTTACACACGTCAACCTAGATCATTTCCATTTC